ATAGCTCAGGGTCGAATTGCCATCAATAAAAAGAAGTCACTTCTACGCTCGCGAACGATTAATTTAGAAATTCGAAAAATATTGTGTATGTTGGGAGAGAGACGCTGTACGGGTGCGAAACACGGACAGTGGGCGCGGCGGAAAAGGAAAGGTTAGAAGCGTTCGAAATGTGGTTTTACAAGCGAATGATGAGGATACCGTGGATAGGGAAAAATGATGAGGTATTAGAAAGAATAGATGAACAGAGGGCTCTATGGAAGTCAATAAAAAAAAGGCGAGATAGGTTGGTAGGACACCTTCGCAGACATGAAGGTCTAGATAGAGACATATTAGAGGCAGAAATAGGAGTTAAAAGGGATAGAGGTAGACCTAGATTAGATTAATGTTTACAAATACAGTGGACCCCCGGTAATCCGACAAACAGTTTGCAGAGCAGTGTCGGATTAGCGAATTTGTCGGATTATAGAGTACTTCCTAAGACTTACGATTTAGGCGGTCTAAAATATCAGATTTTTCTTTAATTGTCAGTGTTTTGTGGTTTCGCTTCTGAACTTGTAACGACTTTACTAGGTACGAACACGTAATACACAATGAATAAACACTAAACAACGTCACACACACACAAAGGACACACGCTAGACCGCACCGCTATCTTCAACACATGTAGTCAAATTCAAATTGAGCAATCAGAATCAAAACAATACTCCAGGCGCCGAGCACAATAGTGGTGGTGCGTACAAGTTATAACTTGTTCAATCATTCATTAGCGAAGATTGTCAAAAAAATATTCAATACATAATAAATAATAGACCATGTCGGATTACAAGGGGTGCCGGGTTAGCCAGGGGCCAGATTATCGGGGGTCCACTGTAGTTAAGGATGTGCGATGTTCCAGTTTTAGGGAAATAGAAAGATTAGCTCAAGATAAGAAAGAGTGGAGGTGCGTGTCCAGCCAGTCTTAGGACTGACGACCTTATGATAATCATGATGATTTAATTTATAATTTAATTTTTAAGTTTTGTGCTAAATTAATCTTGCTTATTTAAAGGTTTCGTCATAAAAATATTCAGGGAAATATAAGGAAATTTCGGTTAAAAAATCTGGGGATTAAGAAGATATTTATCTGGCAACGCTAATTTTTGCTAGTGAGCTCCTTGCCGCCGTAATAAGAGATAAGAAACTTGGTTCCAAAAATTGAAATGTCTTACGGAAATTCTTTGCGAGGGGACACCCTATATTTACATGTCTCCTACCTACAAATCTATCATTAGCACCAAAGCGTGTCTGTCATGTGCTTAAGTAAGTAATACACACGCATACAGACATACATACAAATAAGTTCGGGTTCTTCCTCCCGTCCCGACACTAATCAATTCCCATTAGGGCGTACAAATGTCTGTCAATTCACCCTCACGTTCAACGAACGACAGAAGTCACGCGAGTCCGCGCTATCGGCGGTCACAAAGGTCGCACGCCGTATGTGACATACGCAACATGTCGAGCTTCCGGTGGAGGCGGCGGTATGCTGCCGATGCCGCGATGACGAACTTGCCAAGAGGGTTGTTGGTTGTCGGCGGTTAAGAAGGGAGGCGAAAGGGGGCGGAAGCTCCGGCCACGTCCGTCGTTGAAATTCTAAAAGTAAAAGTGACGCAGGAGGAATATTTTTTTTATCATCGTAGATGGCTCCAATATTATTGCTCAGTTTGTCGAAAATTGGTGATCAAGTTTAACAAAAATTTTAGTGAGGGGAGACGATTTTAATAAAAAAAGTGTTTGTTTGGGATACGGCTCTATACGGGTGCGAAGCGTGAATGAAGGCGTTGAGGAGAAGAAAAAGCTTGAAACGTTTGACATGAGTTGTTACAGGAGGATGATGAATATTTTGTGGATTCGTGGATAGAGAAGGGTAGAAATGAGAAATTACTAGAAATAACAGGACGTCGTGGAAGTAAATGTTGAAAAAGAGAGGTCGGGTTCCTCCTGAGGCATGACGGAGTAGTTAGAAACAGGAACAAGAGGAAAGAGGAGCAGGAAGACTCTTAGATTAGACCACTGTTCAGGAATAGTTAGGAATAAAGGGTGTTCCAGTTTTTCGGGTAATCCGAAGGAAGGGTGGTGCCTCCTGAGACATGACGGACTAATTAGAATTAGAGACATCAGAAATAGAAACAAGAGGAAACAGGAGCAGGAAGACTCTTGGATTAGACCACTGTACAGGAATAGTTGGGAATACAGGGTGTCCCAGTTTTTCGAGTAATCTGAAGAAATGGTGGTGCCTCCTGAGACATGACGGACTAGTTAGAAACATTAAAAACAGAAACAAGAGGAAAGAGGGGCAGGAAAACTCCTGGATTAGACCACACTTCAGGAATAGTTAGGAATGCGGGGTAGTCTACTTTTTCGGGTAATCCAAAGTAAGAGTGGCGCCTCCTGAGACATGACGGGTTAGTTAGAGACATTAGAAATAGAAACAAGAGGAAAGAGGAGCAGGAAGACTCTTGGATTAGACCACTGTTCAGGAATAGTTGGGAATGCAGGGTGTTCTAGTTTTTCGAGTAATCTGAAGAAAGGGTGGTGCCTCCTGAGACATGACGGACTAGTTAGAAACATTAAAAACAGAAACAAGAGGAAAGAAGAGCAGAAAGACTCCTAGATTAGACCATTATGCAGGAATAGTTAGGAATGCAGGGTGGTCTAGTTTTTCGGGTAATCCAAAGTAAGAGTGACGCCTCCTGAGATATGACGGACTAGTTAGAGAAATAGGAGGAAGGAGGATCAGAGGAAGACTTCTATATTAGATGAAATAGTTGGGAATGTGGGATGTTTTATAGTTTTTCGGGTAACGCGAAAATTGGGTCAGAAGTATAGGAGGTGGAATCAGCAATTGACAGATCTTCTTGAGAAACGACCTAAAGAAGATTAGCGCCTTAAATCCTCTTTTTAGCCCTGTGGTTGGGGTCAGTTTGTGGTCTTGTGTGTGAGTGTTTGTATTTTCTTTAGATTGGAATTGACCAATAAAAATATTAAAAGCATGTCTTATCTGTTATCATTAATAATTTTTAGGATTCCGAAGTTATAAACTAGGAACCCTCCCAGTTTCGGTTTGTTCCTCGTCTGTTAATCTGTCTTTCCGTATGTTACAGTCCTTCCATCTTCTCATTTGTAAACCTTTTAAGATGAAGTTTTGTATGTAGACGTGGATTGATGATCCAAAAACAGAATTAATGAGATTTTTCGAAAAGTATAATAGATTTTTGGTTAGGGACCTTATCGTTAGATTTTGACCTCGGTCACGAGGTATTTACCTTTAAAAACTTCAATGATGTTTAATCTTGAAACGGTATAATAGGTAAAATTTACGTGTACAAGGTCAACTACTTGCAATCAGTGGAGCTATTCTACCCCGAATTTTCTCCATCTCCGTCCTATATGCTTTCTCGAATACCATATTGATTGACTGTTGCGAATTGCGAGTTTGTATTAGGCGTTTGTCTTTGGGGTGATATTTGTTATTTTTTCGAGCACTACAGTTGCTCATCGGTATCATTATACTAGACGAAACTTTTACGCATCGATACCAATAAGCGTTCAAAATGTCGCAGCGGGGGTTCACAGATAAAAAGCCGATGCAAGCAGTGGTGGAACGTAATGATAGCAAAATTGACGATTTTATTGTTAGAGCTGAATCCGAGACAAAAAGCGAGTCCGGTGGTAGTTATGATGATACTACAGAATGTCGTTCTCCGTAATTGTATATACTAATGGGCACAACAACAACTAAGGATCAAGAAGTCTCTTTTCTAAATACTTATTCGTTTTTATAATGGAAATAATGAAGTCAATCAGAATATCTATTAGCTATAGTTGTTAGACCCGAGTTGGTGTAGCATCGAACTGAAATTATTCCAAAGGTAGAAGATCTAGCCAGTCTGCTGCTTTAATTTAAAATTGCTCGAACTCTCTCTACCTTGAACATATTCTATGTGATTTTTAAGATTTCACTATTGGTACTAAATTGATCGATTAGAAACATCAGATAATATTTCAAACAACACAAATGTTTCATCAGTTTTCTCAGGATCGAGAGTCACTTTAACGAACTTTTTGGGAAATGTCAATTTGATTTACCATAAGAGGGATAAGTTGACTGCAATTAGATAATTCTCGCGTTTCGCCATCGGCGTATTAAATGAATTCTGTTCTGTTGTAAATTTTCGTAACTACTCTGCCCCTGTGGTAGGATTATTACTTCTTTTCAGATCAAATTTTCCTGACCAGTTGTGACATTTGTTTATTACTACAACATGAGGTGCGTGATCAAATATTTAATGAATCAGATCAGTTTTGCATTATGTCATTTTTTAATTTGTTAACACAAGAACCTTTGCATTGTGTTGTGATCGATTTTTTTTATTGTTTTCAGTCTAAATATCTATTTACTTAGGTGATATAATTATAAAAGCATTTTTATCAAAAAGGTATTTCTAAATTGCCTTTTTGTTCAATTTTGTTATCGCAGTATATCCCATGCATATTTCCCTTTTATTTTATATTCGAAAGTACTAAGTGAAAAGGAGAAACTGTGCATGGGGTTGAAAATTATTTACATTAACATGCACTTCCGGAGGGTGAATTTAACTTGGCTTAGTTCGGTTACCTTAGACTATCGGTTCTATTTTAATTTTTTGCGGTAATAATTACTTACATAATATCATATTAATTTTATGTATTGATACATACTTACGTACTCATCACGTGTTTATGAAAAACACAACAAAAAGTTTTACGATTATTTCAAATGAACATACATGATAATAATATATTGTTTTTAATTAGTTTTCCCGGCAAGAATTTTACATATTAGGAAAAATAATATAATTATCATAGTAACTCATATAAAAATAAGAACTTTTGTTTGTTTGGACTTTAAATCCTTGACGAATCATATTCAGTCCATTGAACATCTTTCTGTTAAAAGAAATAAAAAAAGAAAAACTTACCGTAATTTATCTTTGTGTTTTGGCTTTACGTTGTCATCTTTACAACAATGGTCGTGTCACCGAATCCGAAAAACAAAAAAAATCGCCACGCGTTCCGATAAACGACACACGCTGTGTCGTAGGCGGCTGTGTTTGTAAAAGTATCAGACGTTGTCGTCGTTCGGGAAACCACGTGCTGGCGCGTTGACAACCCGAAAAGATATGAGGGGATGATGTTAAATGTGATAATAATCGCCACCGTTGCGGCGACGGGGGTGGACGAATGACGACAGGCACAACAAAGGGGGCGGCGACGTATAACGTTCAGGCTGCACAGGTGGGCATGATTCATTATCTGCAATACACTCTGCACGCATACAACATGCTGTTTTACAAATCAAACTGAATCTATTGTTTCATATTGTGGTGGAAATATTACAAAAAAAAAAGTATTGATGCACATGTAGGGATGTAGAAGGGAGAGGGGTGGTGGCTGTTGAAGTTAGTTGTCGAGATTTTTGACCGTGGTTCAATGGAAATTTTAGAAGAGGTTGAGCGTTTTTTATTGAGCAGGAACAAATGGGTGTAAACAGATGTAAAAATGATGTTTATGAATCCGGGTGTTAATTTTTGATGAACCTTAGGGTAATATCTGCAGGTCCAGGTAATAGCTTACATCTACTAGGTACTGTCATTCATGTTCTTCGGTTCTTACTTTCATAATTCGATCACTTCACCCGATGTATTATCATTAGTGTCCGACCGAAAGTTCAGTTTCGGTTTCGGTCGAGATTAGGCAAAAAAGCGAGTTTCGGTTTAGTTTCGGTTTCGGCGGTAAACCTGCCGAAACTACGACCGAAACCGAAACTGTGTTCGGGAGTTCTCGCGCTCTGCTCGGCGCGTTCAACATGACGAATTAAGTTTAGAAAGAGTTAATTTGTTCTTAATTAAGATAAAAGTGATTTATTTTGTTTTGTTTATTACTTAAATATTAAGTTCCTATACCTATTGTGATATTAGGTAACAATAACAAAAGTAATATTATATAAAAAAAAAGCATGAATAATCTTCAAAAGAAAAATGAGTCTAGCCTACTATACTTACTCAAATAAACATCTCACCTATTTTAAGTATTTTTAAGGCGCAATTAAAGTATTTCCTTAAATGAGGGGTTGTTATGTTGATTTTAATTTGATTATCAATAAGTGAAAATGTCAAAGACTGCAGAGCTGTGATTTAAAGATAAAAAAATAGAACTGACTGATTATAATAACGTTTTCTTTATTTTTCTCTCAAAACATGATCCTTATAAGGAAGTTTCGGTTTCGGTTTCGGTTTCGGCCGAAACTGAGATCGTTGCCGAAATTCAGTTTCGGTTTCGGTCGTAAAAACCAGTTTCGGTCGGACACTAATTATCATCATCATCATATTCTTCATAATGAAACTGGTGTGCTCCATTTTTCTGTAACCTATTTGGTATATCATAATTATCAGTTATCTGATAAAACGCTTATAATTAACACAAAAACAATTTGAAGAACGGATACACGTGTTTTGCCTAATAGAATGAACTTTAGACTTTAGGCTCTGACATCTGACCCAAAAAAATGTATATTTGGAGTACGACTCTATAAGGGGTGCAAAGCTTCGGTAGAAAAGAAGAAGCTAGAAGCTTTTGAAATGTGGTGTTACAGGAGGACGATGAAAATACCGGAGATAGAAAAGGTTAGAATGGGGAGGTATTGGAAGTAGAGGAGAGATGCAATGGTAGGACACGTTTTGAGACATGAAGGGCTAGTTAAGAACATTTGTCAAAATCATACGGCAGTTATAGGATTCACCATCCAGTAATACAGGCCAGAATTTATTTAAAAAAATATGCACGTGCGATTCCCAGACTTCTTTGGTTCTCCTTATTAACTCTATCTTCAACTCAGTTCAATGTATTACTGATACATAAAGAGGGCATCACAAACCAAATTTTGCCAACGTTCTCGTTCGGCTTATTTTAACTAAGCCGATGTCTTTGGATTACTATATCTGCTACCGGTCATATTTGCTGCATTTAAATTAGAATTTTTATCGTACTTTCCAAAAATCCTGCTATTCTTTGTTGTCCCAAATTATACATGTACCGGTAAATACCGGCACATTCACTTTGTCCATGTCTAAGGAACATATGTAAAGAGAAAATGAAAAATGTATGCCCTATACAATTGCGATCGTCCACGATGACGGGTAACATCTAGAGATGTGTAAAATGGTTCAAATGTAAAATATAAAATAGATTTCCCTTTTGTATTTTAATTGCTAAATGCAAAATATGTATTTTCAAAATACTTTTTCCAAATAAATACATTTTTTGTAGTAGGTATCTATTTAATTTTCTACATTTACTTAATCATCATCATCATCATAAGGACATCAGTCCTAAGACTGGTTGGACACGTCCCTCCACTCTTTCCTATCCTGAGCTAATCTTCGCATTTCCCCAAAACTAGAACATTCCACATCTTTAACTATTTGCGAACAGTAATCTAACCTAGGTCTACCTCTACCCCTCTTAACTTCTGTTTCTGACTCTAATATGTCTCTGACTAGACCTTCATGCCTGAAAAGGTGTCCAACCAACCTATCTCGCCTATTTTTTATTGACTTTTGTAGAGTCCTCTGTTTTCCTATTCTTTCTAATACCTCTTCTTCATTTATAACCTTTTCTACCCACGTTATCCTTATCATTCGCCTAAATAAAATATTTTTTAAGAAAACCTTGCAGGTATTTGTTTATTTTTTAAATATTGGAGTTTTGACTAGACTAAAACGACAACCATCTGTTATATCATATAATTGCAAAAAAAAAGAAATATCCGATCTTATTGACAAGATTACAGATTACCATTGTTTGAGCTCTGATCGCGTACGTGTACTCTTTAACACACAGCTACAGTTCGTCCTCGCAGGCCCATTTCTCAATAAGAACTATCAGTTGGCATTCCCTCAAATTGAACATTAATAAAATGCAGTAAAGAAAAATACATATTATATAATTGACTCTNCAATGTGAGCAACTTGCATTCATCATTTTATGTAATGTTTGATCGGTGATACTAGAAAAACTTTTAAGGACAAAAACGTATTTTGCATTTTACAAATAGAAAATACGCTTGGAAAAGTATTTTAAATAAAGTACAAAATGTTTTTCTCAAAAAGTATTTAAATGCAAGATAAAAATACGTATTTTTAATTTTGTATTTGCATTCTAAATGCACGTATTTTGCATTTTACAAATAGAAAATACGCTTGGAAAAGTATTTTAAATAAAGTACAAAATGTTTTTCTCAAAAAGTATTTAAATGCAAGATAAAAATACGTATTTTTAATTTTGTATTTGCATTCTAAATGCAAGTATTTCCAATAGATCACATCTCTGGTAACATCTAATAACGGTGATGTTAGACCGTCATATTGGACCACATTTAATTTCTTTTTTTAATTACGTTTATATGAATTATACATGTGTTGCATGTACTCGGTGTAGAGTAAGAAGGGGATGAGTGAGTGCACTTTTGCCGTGCAAATCAATCGAAACGATATCGATAAGTGTGGGAGCTACGGTATCAGTGGCGGCTGCGTCGGAATTAACGTAAAATTCGTGAAACGGAAACAGATAACAGAACGTTTGTTCAAGTGTTTCGTTAACAGAGGTATATGCAGATGCATCAATTGTGGAGGATTTTAAAGGGATTTTTAATAATAAGGTCGTATATTCAAAAACTGCGATTAAAAAGGAAAAGAAAACAAAACAGTTTGACTTTAGATATTTCCAATGATGAGTGATCTTTACCGTTGATATTCTGGATTTTTTTTTTGTGCAGTCTGTATGCAGGACTGCGAATAAAGAAAAATATCCAGAAAAAAATATATTGCTTCCTCCAAAAATATTGACGATAGCTCAAACATACTTTGTTATCAACAGTTTTTTTTTAATAGTTTATTTGGAGTAATTTACTTTCAAATAATTTTTGGAGGTCCAGTTTTTGATTTTCTGCGACTACGGCCCGCCAGTTGATGTAGGCAAGGGGTTATGTAATTATAGGTGGGGTTCCGATGTATTGTAAATTTTTATTGTGGTCCAGAAAAAACATATTCCTTCCTCCAAAAAACGATAAGAGTGGCGCTTACCTTGCTATCTCATCATCATCATAATCATCATAAGGTCGCTAGCCCTAAGACTGGTTTAACACGCACCTCCACTCTTTCCTATCCTGAGCTAATCTTCGCATTTCCTTCTATTCTTTTTAATACCCTTCATTTCTAACCTTCTCTATCCATGGTATCCTCGTCATTCGTTTATAACACCACATTTCGAACGTTTCTAACCTTTACTTTTCCGCCGCGCCCACCGTCCATGTTACGCACCCATACGGCGCCGCGCTTCAAACATATACCTTTAACAATCTTTTTCGAATTTCTAGATTAATCGTTTGTGATCACTTCTTTTTATTGAAGGCGACTCGACCCTGCGCTATCCTCTGCTTTTTATCCCTTCTACTCCTTCCGTCCTGATTTATCTGACTTCCTAAATACCTAAAATCATCCACTTCTTCTAATTTTTCGTCTCGTATCTTTATATTCTCTCTTTCCATACTTTCTTTTCCCTTGCATACCAGTATTTTTGTTTTACTTTTATTTATTTTCGTACAATACTGTTTTGTCAACATCGCTACCATTTTATTTAAAACTATCTCTAACTCCTCTTTGCTAGATATATCATCTGCAAATCTAAGCATACTAATCTTTTGCCCTTGCACGTCTATCCCTACAGTTGTACTGTCTTTAATGATGTCGATCGCGTCTTCGGTGTATAGATTATATTCCTTCCTCCAAAAAATGATAAGAGTGGCGCTTAAAGCAAACATACGTTGTCGTCTACAGAAATTTTTTCTTAAATGACTTATTTGGAGTAATTTACTTTTAAAAAAGTTTTTGGCGGTCCAGTTTTTGACCTTCTGCGGTCGGTATATATAATACATCTTATAAGAAATTGCGACAAAGTTAACTGGTTTATATATTCACTCATAGTAAAAACGGCGGAGGTGCTAGACATGTTTGCAAAACTTGCATTAATTCTATCGAGGCTTGATAAGGACTGTAGATGCTGGAAGATATTAGTGATAAAATTAAGCAG